ATTTGTGTGTAAAGTAGGAGTAGATAAAAGCAGTGTAAAATTACACAAAATTTATTTATCAATATAAGCACTTAGATACTTTAACACTTTGTTATTTTTTTCCGCATAGAGTTCATAGCAGAACCCGCTAAAGAAAGTGATATTAAAACTTTATTAAAAGTAAAACAAATTTATGCGCAATGCATGGATAACGGTACGTATTACGACGATGTAGAAAGTATATCATTAATATTTTTCTTTAACACAAACAAATAGTTACAGTTTACAATAAAAAACACGTTTTTTTGTTGACTTTCAGAGGGCTTTGATGCGGACGAACAGAATAACTTATTTAGGGGCGTTGTAAATAGGTATCTCAAATGGCCATTGATTATGTCTCGTCGCGAATGGGACGATAGAAATTTGACATGGCAAAATGTGAGCGATAGTTTGCATGAAACAGGATTTGATAATGGCCTTTACGATATAGTAGTTCAAAGACAAACGGAGTCATCAAATAGTAACATTATCTTTGTATGTATATTATATTGATACAAAATATATTATAAATTATAATTAATTATATTTACTGTAATACTTTATATACAACATAATAACACACATTTAATGTATTCATTTAAGTAGCACAAATATGTGTAATTAAAGAATCAAAGCCATTACGCAATCGCAAATAACAACGCGTACATAAGTGTGTAAAAACTGAGATTCAATTTAATTAAATTTTTAAAACAATTTTATTATTTTTAGATAACTGAGCCTATTACTTTGTTCCCATGGAATATTGCGCCTAATGTTAAGGAAAGATATGTATCCTTTATCGTCACAACTGCAAAAGCAATTATAGAAAACAACGGTGGAACCGTCGAGATCGATATTCTTACTCAAGATGTACGTGATATCGTAGACTTTGAGAAAGAAATGTTTAACGTAAGTACGTGTGTGAAGCATTAGAGTATAGTAATAAAACAATACATACACAAATAAAAATTTTTAAGTTTTTCTTACTACTTTCAATGTACTTCTTATATGATTTCTTATGTAATTTTTGTTTTCTTACTACAAGTGATTTTTTTTTACTACGAGTACCTATTTTATAGTTTCATGATCTTTAATAGCCGATTGTTTAAAAAACCTTTTCAATTGATTTAATTAATCACAGGTGAGAACAGACTTTAAAGACAACTATATTAGTTCTAATGTTTCTATACCGTTAACAATTCAACACTTTCAAGAACAGTATGATAAACAGCATCCCGAAAACCAAGAAAAGGTGTGTGAATATATATATATATATATATAAAACTTACACGTTTTACTATATACGGGTGTTCGACAATCACATTAACATCTCTCGTAGGCAGATAAAAGGAGTAAAACTGAGTCGAAAAGTCGTGGATCATTTTTTTTTATTACACATAATAAAGAAATAAATATTGAATAAATAAGGCCAATCAGCGCCGAACATTCGCCAGAATCAAGTCAGTGGCCCGAGCGGAGCGTTCAAGCACACCAGACGTGTGGTTCACTGACGTTCGGCTAAAAGGCGGCGCTGATTGGCTTGATTTATTCAATAATTACTCCTTTATTATGGGTAATAGAAACAAATAATTCAGGACTTTTTGACTCAGTGTTACTCATTCTATCTGCCTACAAAAAATGTTAAAATGATTCTCGAACACCTTGTATAAACTGTAAGAATAATAAAAATTTTATTTACACAGATAGATTGGTATTCAACCATTAAAAAAGTGTTTGCGTCAGAAGGAATTGCGATCGAACCGTCTGAGAAGATCATCGTTAATAAGATCACATATTTTGCTAAATTGGTATCGTTGTTAAAGCGCACACCATCTCGAACTATTGGTAACATTTTTGAACAGTGAAATTTAAATTGATAATACATCATGAAGTACGAACAAAATATCTATACAATATTAATTTAATAACGTAATAATTGTAGGTAATTACATGCAATGGACCATATATCTACATAAAATAAATGACCTAATAATATACTCAAAACTGAATCGTATCACAAATAAAACAAAGATAATGTGCAAAGAATCCAACTTGGATGTTGCTATTTGTCACGAATATGTAAAAAAATATTTATTGCCCAAAACTATACACGATGTAAGATTCATACGGTTTACAAAATTACACAATTGAAAACGTTATTATATTATTATAGTTTAAATATATTACATATGACTTCACATACAAAATTTCCACATTCTCATTCTAGATCATACAAATAATCACTGACGTTAAAAGTGCCGTTCAAAACCAAATAAAACACACCACTTGGATGAACGAGCCGACAAAAGGAGCGTGTATTGAGAAACTCGCTTATATAGGACACAATATTAAATCCGAATTGTACACCAACACAAGTGAAGTTGACAAATATCACGAAAAAGTAAGTACACTTGATACAAAAAAATATTTATATTGTATACAGCTTTTATTAGCTGTTGTTTATTCTTGGCTTCAAGATAAATCGTACAAATATTTGAAACAATTTTGATTTATCTGTTCTACAATCGTTACAAGTCATTACAAAAAAACATGTCTTAAATTTAACTAATGTACTTCAGATGAATGTCGGTACGACACATATCGACACTCTACTAAATTTATCTACATTCAAAAGAAGAAAAATGTTAAGCTCGCTACGGACACCGAGTAACGAAACTTTTTCGGAGTAAGACATTTTACATTTCTATTTTTCAATATATAACATATACTACATATGGTATAAAACACACATATAAGAATAATATATGTATATCAACGCGAGAAACTTTTTAGTAATTTTAATTTTCTAAATTTTTTCTTTACCTAGTTTTTATACAGTGGATATCAATCTTGCACTAGGGAAGAATGCTTACTACAGTAAATATCTCAATAAATTCGGTAAATTTTTATAGTTAATTAAATTAAAATATGTGTGTGTGTGCAAAACCAATGTAATTTAAACCCTTTTAAAGTTTACTAATAATGTTTTTTTTCTCATCTTTTATGTAGTCATTCCTCTTGCCTATTTACAAAGTAGTATATATAGCGGTAATTTTCCGTAAGTTTCTTGTAACAATTTATAAAAAATTCAAATTCTTGAAAAAAAAGTCGTAAAACCTTGTACCTAATTTGTTTCAGATTCCTAAGCTACGGACCGTTAGGATTTACTATTGCACATGAAATCAGTCACGCATTTCATACATTTGGTAAGTAATTTCTTACTAAATAATAATTTGCTAATGAAAAAACTTGCAAACTAACATATTGTTTATAGATGGATCCGGTAAATACAGCAACGTCGACGTACAGTCGTGGCCGCAAAAGAATTTCGAAGAATTCATAAAAATACCAGAATGTTTTATCAATCACTATAATGAGTATACATTTTTGGAATCACAACATATGAATGTTTCCGTAAGTAACTCACACATATAAATAACACATTCCAAAAGTATTGTTACAAAATCTAATGAAAATTTGCGATAGCAGTTAATTTCCTAAAGATAATTTATTTTCTTTTTCTTTCAGTTTTCTAAGATTGTATATATGTTTACTCGAATTTGTTTACAGATGAACGGAAATAAGACGCTTAAAGAAAACATTGCCGATTCTGCGGGCATTGCAGCTGCATATTACGCTTATAGGAACAGAAAAGCGAAATTGAACGAGACTGAATGGCGGCTGCTAGGACTAGAACAGTATAATGATGATCAGATCTTCTTTATAATGTATGCTCAAGTAAGTACTTAATAAGATGTTTGGACATACAACAAGATATAAAAAAATGTAATTTAAGTAAAACTAAAGACATAGACAAAAATAGTGATATTATCTTTTCTTTTTTAGACGATGTGCGAAAGTTTTCTTCCGACAGAGTTACGACACCGTACTTCCGATGTTCATTCTGCAAATGAAATTAGAGTTCGCGGCAGCCTTTCAAATTTTCCTGAATTTTCCGCAGCTTACAACTGTCCCGTAGGAACATTAATGAATCCGGTGAAGAAGTGCGCTCTTTGGTACTAGAACGACGATTGTGCATCTGCAAAAATGTGAACGCGATGTCCTTCTCTTTCGTACAAGTTATTTGAAAGATAATTTGCTATTACGTTAATACATATACATATATATATATGTAAATGTAACACAAATTTATTTCTAACAATATAAACATTTTTGCTATGTATTCTTGTGTGTTTTTTGCATAACTAAGCCTTCCACAAAATATTTATATCTTTTACATCTAAACGGAACTTATTGCACTCACTGCTTGCTTGAAACTTGAAATCCTGCAAAGATATACTCTTGTAAGTCATTGTATTGATACAATCAGTTTTTCTGTATACTCTGAAGGTCAATAACAAAAATTAAAATAGTTCTGTTAGTGAAATATGTATATTCAAAAAATCAGGTCGAATTATCATCGATAAATTAGGAGGATAATATACAAATGTATGTCATATAAACTGCAATAATCTTAATATTCACTTTTATGTTACAGATGTGCTATATAATATGAACTTCGTGATTTCAAAAAAGTTTTCAAGTTTCGTGTGCTTAGTAAATAAGTCTCTTCGCATTTGTATTATATTTGAAAAATTATGCAGTTCTATAAACTTTTCCTCGCGCACAATGCACTGACTAAGATATATCGATTGGACACTTAACGAAATGTATCCTACATTCAAGATGAAGGTTGGAGCATATATTTAATAACAATGCAGACAAAACTTAACACGAAATTCAGTGGAAAACGAACTGCAACTATTATATTAAGTATACTAATTCAATTTTTTACATCATGCATCTTAAAAAAATACTGACATTTTAAACAATCATCCTAAAAAAATACTAAACTTACGTTATCTTTCTTAAACTACATATAGTGTATAATTATTTAANGTTACTGTACGTAGTTGGTTGCGCACCGTCTTGTAACCAAGTTTCATTCATTCTCCAAGTGACAAAGAAAAGCTGAAAATTATGAGTGGGACTTTTAGCATAAATTTAGGGCTACACGGCCAACACAAGCACGACACATGCTTGCTGTAAACATTAAATAGGAGAACACGATGTAGCCCGCGTTATTTCCCAAATACGACTAGTCGGGTTTGGTCCGCGCAAAGCATTGATAGTTCGTAGACGACTTCGTAGTGAAACAATTTTATGTGATCTGATCATTTTGAAAGAAAAAAAATTACTAATTTTTACTTAAAGGCAATATTTTCTGAATTCAATTGTTGAATTAAAACACTTTATGTAGATGCGTATCAGATATATGCGTATTTAAAATTATTAAATGCGTATTAAATGCGGTTTTATAATACGACATTAAACAAGTGTATCGTCGCATTACATGAATCTTAATTACATTATCAAGCAGTAAATGTACGGTATACTTCTATTTTAAATTTTATGTTTTACGTAAATTTATATACAATGTTTAAACTGAAAGTTATACAAGTAAGAAGTATTAAATTTGAACATTTGTTTTTGACAATAGTTTGTTAGTGATCTTCATCGAAATCGCAAACACAAAGTCAAAGGAATTATTCAATTTATGTTTGCCGTTTGTGTTACAACCTTCTCACAATATGGGAACGTACAACTTAGTTATGTAAGATTAAAAATTTTAAGTAATATAAAAATATTTTTATTATGACATTTGCAAACTTGCATAAAAATACATTTGTTGCGTCAATGTTAATACTAAATAAATCTTTTTTTTTTGTTAGTATATCTATTATTTTTGTTAACTGTTTATTTGCATTATTTTTTCAGAGTATTTTTAATAGCTATATCGCACGTTACGTGTTTTAGCGTTGTAACAACTAACAATACTGGATCTATTCAGTATGCGTTATGTACCACTGATAAATGTATTAGTGCGNGTAAGTGCAAAANACAAATTGATTAAATTGTGCTAGTATTGCGCTATATATCTTGTCTTATGTGTGATATTGTCACTAATTATTTCTATTTTTCTATAGCTTCAGAGATTTTAGCCAATCTAAATCGTACAGTTGACCCTTGTGATAATTTTTACAAATTTGCTTGTGGCGGATGGTTGCAACATAACCAACCAAATGATTTGTTTCCATATATTGATATTTTAAATTTGATCTCAAGAAAAGTGAGGGATCAACTTCGAGGTGATACAGTTTTATTATATATTTAATATTTGTGAATATGTGGTACAAACGCAAATATCTAGAAAATTAAAATATGCACAATCGGGACACTATTAAGTAATGATCAGAAAATATGATTTTATTTAAAGTAAACGATAAATATAGTGAAGAGTAGTCAACTTACATTTGCCTCATTTTTAATAATAAACAGGTCAATCCTGTGTATACTAAAATTTTTTGAAAAATATATGGAGGTAAACAAAATTTATTTAATAATATAAATGGATACATATAATAACTCTTAGTAGTTTTTTTGTTAGTAGAGCTCTTAGCAGAACTCACTAATGAAAATGATACTAAAACTTTGATAAAAGGAAAACATTATTTATATACGCAATGCATACATTCGAAATTATATTCTTTCAAGTTAGCGACAAACTGGTAGCAAGAGACAAAACATATATATTTGTTTTTTTCTTAGACTTTCAGAGTGATAGTAGACGCGCATTTTGCGATTTGCGCAGTCACTCAAGATTATCGAGAAATTATAAATAGAAGGGAAACTATTAGCCTATTTATAAAAAAATCGAAAGTGTGTTGCTTGAAATTATTGAATTCTTACATACTTTTATATAGATAACACTCTGTTGAATTTTTTGTATGTGTTTTTTGTATGCTTGCAGAACTTGTAGAAGGACCCGCTAAAGAAAATGATAGTACGGCTTTGATAAAAGCAAAACATATTTATGCTCAATGCATCAATAATGGTACGCATTGCTACACTATAAAAAAACCACAGTACTTATTGCAAATATTCAAACAAAAACGAATTGAAATAAAAATAATTCTATTTTATTCTAGTTTAAAATCAAGAAAAATTTTTTTTTTTGTTTTTCAGAGGACAGTAACGTGGACGGAAGCTTACGCGCCATTGTACATAGGTACGCCGAATGGCCATTGGTTATGCCTCATCGCGAATGGAACGATACAAATTTGACGTGGCAAAATGTTAGCATGATTTTGAATGAAAATGGATTTAATAATGGCCTTTATGATATAACGGTGGAAAGGCCTAACAAAACGTCCAATAGTAGAATTATAGTTGTAGGTATATTATATTTATATAAAACATATTATAAATATATTATGACTCATATCAGTACGTATATATTATCCTGATTTTATCGCAAAGATGTAATCAAAGTGGTGAAACAGTTATGCATTTGCAAACAATGCATAAACACTTTCGCAAACGATGCATATATAGATGAGTAAAAACCAAACTTAACTGTATAAAAATATCATTTTTTTTTAGATTACTGAGCCTAACTTTTGTTTTCCAAGAGACGCCATACTTCCGTCTAAAAAGACAGGTAGATGGAATGAAATACACGCATCCCACATTGTAAGAATTGTGAAAAAATTCATAGAAGAAAATAACGGAACTATCGAGATCGATAATCTTACTCGAGATGCACTTGACATCGTACAATTTGAAACGGAACTGACTAACGTTAGTATGAAACATGATATTGGTAAATGCACGTAATTCAAACTTTTGTGCCTAATTTCACAATATTGCTTATAATTTCTTACATTACATAATATTTTTTATACTTCTTATAATACGAATGTTATATATGCAAAGATTTTAACAGCCAAATGTGTAAAGTGACCTTTTAATTGTTTTAAATAATCACAGTTGACAATAAGCTATGAAGAATATAAGGAAATGCCTAATGTTTATATTCCGTTGACAATTCAACAATGGCAAGAAGAGTTTGATAAGCAACATCCCGAAGAAAAGGGAAAGGTACGACTTGATCTTAAGTATATCTTTCTTTATAAACGGTATATATAGTTTTTTATTTACAGATTAATTGGCATTTAACCATTCAAACATTGTTTACTTCAGAAGGAATCGCAATTGAACTGTCTGAAAAGATCGTCATTGAAGCACACACATATCTTATTAAGCTGATACCGTTATTAAAGCGAACACCATCTCGTACTATTGGTAGGTTTTTCGAAACAGGAAAATTTAAATTGAATAGCACAATATAAATTAGTAAAAGTAATATATTATCAATTTACTAACTAATTGTAATTGCAGTTAATTACATGTTGTGGACTGTAATCTGCGAGATTCGTAACTACATTATACAATTAGAAAAGAATGCACGTGACACAAGGTGGAAAACATGTATTTCAAAATCCAACTTGAAATTTGCTATTTTTCATGAATATGTCAAAAAATACGTGTCGGACGAAAGTATACAGGACGTACGATTCATGCAATTAAATAAGATGTACATTGAAGATAAATTACATTTACATATTTATTAAACAAAATCAATTTAGGTCAAAGAAATAATCACGGACGTTAAAAGCGCTATTCGAGAACAAATAAAAAACTCCACTTGGGTGGACGAGCAAACGAGAGAGATGTGTCTTGAGAAAGTTGCTTATATGAAACAGGACAATATTAAACCCGACTGGTACAACAATGAAGATATTGACAATTATTACAAAGGCGTAAGTATATGCTCCCTAAAGAGCCGTCTACAATGGAGAGTTGTAGGCCGTAACAGTAAGAAATTGACAAATCACAATCGATTATTCTTCTGTACTTTGTCTGTGATTGGTCAATTTCTTACTATTACGGCCTACAACTCTCCATTGTAGACGGCTTTTAAAAAAAACTATTTATAACATACATCTTTACTGTTGCGTTTTCATGCCTCATAAAGTTGCACGAATGCTGTACATCTTTTTGGTCTATCTGTTTTACCGTATTGTTACAAGTTACTCTAAGAAAATATTTTATAAAACTTTATAATGCATTTTAGATAAATGTCAGCACAACATATATCGACACCTTAATAAAGTTATTTACGTACGACAAAAAGAAAATGTTAAGCTTGCTAAGAATACTCGGCAACACAACTTTTACAAAGTAAGATATTTTTCGTTTTTATATAATAAATTATATATACCACAAAATATAATTATAATGGTACATGGACATTGAAAACATCAAAATTTTATTTTTGTTTATAATAGGTTGGATAGCGACTTTGCAGAACCAAATGCTTACTACATTCCATCTCTTAATAAATTTGGTAAAGTTTAAAACTTGTAATTAAAACGTGCAAAGGCGATGTAATGTTAAGAATTTTGAATTTTACAAATAATTTGTTTTTCACACATTTTCTGTACAGTTATTCGTCCTACCATTTTACACGATCCTGTATATAATAGAAGTCGTCCATCGTAAGTATGTTTGTAACAATATGCAAAAACGACTCGTTTGAAAACCAAAATTGAAAAACAAACTTATATTTTGAATTAGATTTATCAACTACGCCTCGCTAGGATTTATTATCGCACATGAAATAAACCATGCCTTCGATTTAGTCGGTAAGTAATGTCCTATTTGTTCTTGATAAAAAAATTTTAATATAGTATATTGTTGTGTATAGGTAGTAAATATGACAAAGACGGCAACATCGTACAATTGTGGTCGTCAAAGGCTATCGATGAGTACATAAAAATATCACAATGTTTCATCGATCAGTATAACGAGTATCTATTTGCGGGATTAGAAGATAAGAATGTTTTCGTAAGTAAATCACACATATGTGTGTGTGTGTGTGTGTGTGTGTGTGTGACATATTACAAAAGTGTCGACAAAAATCTATTGAAATTTTGCGGTATTATAAAAAAATTACTTTTTTTGAAGACAATTTATTTACATTTTATTTGAGTTTTCTACGATATGTAAATACTCAAATTTGTTTACAGGTGAACGGATATATGACACTTAAAGAGAACATCGTCGATTCTGCGGGAGTTGTAGCTGCGTATTACGCGTATAAAAACAAGAAAGCTAAATTGAACGAACCTGAATGGCGGCTGCAAGGACTAGAACAGTATAATGATGATCAGATCTTTTTCATAACGTTTGCTCAAGTAAGCAATTAATGAAATAGTGTACACCAAAATCAACTATCATTAATAAAATAATATACACCGAGATGTGCAAAAATGTACTTTTATTAATCTGTAAAAATACAGACATAGATACAATAGTAGTGATGTTATTTTTTTTTTCAGACAATGTGCGAAAGTTTTCTTCCGAAAAAGCAACATCTTATTTCCGATGTTTATTCTGTAAATGAAATTAGGGTTCGCGGCAGCCTTTCAAACTTTCCTGAATTTTCCGCAGCTTACAACTGTCCCGTGGGAACAGTAATGAACCCGGTAAAGAAATGCGCTCTTTGGTACTAGAACGACGATTGTGCACCTGCAAAAATGTGAACGCGATGTTCTTCTGCTTCGTACAAGTTATTTAGATTATAATTCGTTATTACGTTAATACACATATACATATATATATATATATGCATGTACATGTAATACAGATGTATTTCCAATAATATAAACATTTGCAATAATATTCTTGTGTCTTTGGCATAAATAAATATTTTCCACAAAAATATTTTTTTTGCGAACATTATTGTAAAAATCTTTACGATATATTTCTTGCATTCTTAACATGGCTATAATTCTGCTTTTGATAGATAAATGCTCATGCAATTTAATATACTGATAAATTTTCTTCTGTATATTTTGTTGGATAATAACAAAATTTAAACACGTGCTACGACAATGACATAAGTTCAAAAACTAACACAAATTATTATCGATAACTTATGAGTGTATGTCGTATACATTTTGATAGTTTTAATTTTAATTTTTCTTTCGCAGATGTATTATATAAAACCAGATTTCGCAATTTAAAAAAATGTTTTTACATTTTGTGGTTTTCAGTAAATAAGTTTTTCCGCATTTCAACAAATTATGCATTTTTATAAAATTTTTCAAACATATCAAAATATATCTCATATTCGAGTTGAATTTCGAGGCAAGTAGTCAATCATGGTCCGGGAGGAACTTGATATGTAATCGTCTTAAAAGCTTATGACGGTAGTTTCAGTTTCACTTTTTAGATATCACTGGCGGAAAAATAAGAGTGACTCATTTGTTTTTTGTTTAAACATATGTGGCGACAATGGAATCAGTAAATGATAACACAGCAGTTTTCTTTGATTATTTCATACTACAGTAGTATATATTCATCATGAAAAATACATTAAATTTATGAAAGAAACGTTCGCGCTATATCGAAAGTTTGTTTCAAACATAATTATTGATCATAAGTAACTGCGAGTCTTTTTTTTTTGTTTGCTTAGAGTTATAAAAAATTGTACAAGTACAAGTCGATTGCTTCCAAAAAGGTCGTCGTTTAAAGACGTTCTCGTGAATTCTATAATACTTGATATTTATAATAGTAATCGATACATATATATAATTTTGTTATATTAATTTTTGTATTAATCCATGCAAAGTATAAAAATTAATGTATTTTTATTTTTTCACTTACAAAAATTTTATCATACAAATTTCTACAATTAATATAAGTAACCGTGCGCGCGCCGTAATTTGACACGTTTTTCTTAAACGACGGATCATATAGAAAAGAGAAAAACAAAAACTTACGGGAGTGTTTCAAGATCACATGACAAACACGAACATGATTCGTGCTTGTTATGTATTGTAAAACGAGGGACGATGTATCGCGCTTTATCCTAACACACAAGCAAGATCAGTCAGGCATAGCCCGCGCAAAAGTTCGGTAGCTAAAAAGCAAGAATATTATGAACATTGTTATAAGTATAAAATTTAGTTTTAGAGTTTTATTGTGAAAAATTTTTATTTACGAAAGAGAAAAAGAGAAAAACGTTTATTACTGTTTATTATAATTCTTTTTGAATTAAACCTTGTATATAAATATGTGCGTTCTTACCGTACGACGTTTGAACACCTGCTCCGTCGCATCACTTCTCACACGTAAGTTTACGCGTATAATTATGATTTATTTATTTTTTAATTTTTTTACTTTTATAAAACTTTGAACTTTTTTTTAAATGTAAAAAAAAAAACTAATTCGGGCGTTTGGTTTTATGCGACGGCAGTTCTTTAGTGTCTTTCTTCGAAACCACGAACAAATAGTCAAAAAGAAACAGTCAGAGACGATTCACTTACTTTGTGTTACAATCTTTTCACACTATGGAGATTCGTTTTTTAATGTAAGAATGAATATTACTACTCTTACTATTGTATCTACTTTAACAATTTTATAATCATGCACAAGTGTTTTCATATTTGTAGTAATTATAATATTTTTCGTTTGGTATATGCCGTATTTTTGCAGAGTGTTTCTGATAACTGTAACGTGCGCGTACGTTACATTCGGCCATGAAATAAATTACCATGGTATATTTATTCAGTATGCTTTATGCGCAAGTAACCAATGTTTAAACACAGGTATAAGTACATACATACGTATATATGTATGTGTATACTCTTATAAATTTGCTTTTGTACACTTTTTCCTTGTATGTTTGATTAGTAATAAATTATTTTTTATTTAGCTTCAGAGATTGAAGCCAAACTAAACCGAACGGTTGATCCTTGCGACAATTTTTACAAATTTGCTTGTGGCGGATGGTTGCAAAAGACCCAATTGGATCGGCCACATTCATACGTTTCTACGTTCACCGAGATAACTGAACAAACAAACAAGCAATTTAAAGGTACAGTTTTGATATAAATTTAATTTCTACATATGTATGTTTATGTATGTATGAGTTTGTGTGTGTACAAATATAAATATCTATACAAAGTGTGAAAGCATATCAAATCGAGCAAAATTGTGTGCTTGTTTGCAAGTATTTACTTTACTTTACTTTAACAAACATAACAATTTTAAAAATATGTCGATCATCTAATAAAAAAATTAACTCACACGAGTAAATAGATTGACTACGTAACCTCAGAAGTCAGTCACAGCAATAAGTAAATACATAAAAATATACAAATTCACAAAAATATAAACATTTTCTTCACTTCTTGCTTTATTTGATCAGTAATCAGTTGAAATTTTTTAAATTCTAAAATCAATTCTTGTTTATTGTATATTTTTGAACACATATTCGTGTATTTTATGTTTGAAAGAAATTTCTATCTAAGAACTCCAGTAATTTCGTGCCTACGAGATCGAGTCTAAAACTTATAATTAATTTTTTTCTTTTTGAGTTGGCGACCGATTGATAGCAACAAACAAAAAATATTAGTTTATCTTAGACTTTTAGAGTGAAGAAAAACTCGCGCTCTTCGAGTTGCATAGTTATTCAAGAATATAATTGAATTATCAATAATGAAGAAAACATTTGGACCTATCCGTAAAAAAAGAAATCAAAATCGTGATGTTTGAGATTACTGCAGTTCTATTGTAATCTACTAAAACTTTCGTGCTCGAGTTATATAAAATACAATTTGTGACAAAAAACATCATTGTCATTTGCGTATTTTTTGATAATAAATAATTTAATTGTGTTTGTATGTAAATTCATTGCGAAATATAAATAATGTCAGACAAATTATAATTCAGAATACATGTGCTTAGGTATACATATATATATACATTGTCGTTTTGTTTGCCTATAGAGCTTTTAGAAGAACCCGCTAAAGAAACTGATACTAAGTCTTTCAGAAAGGCGAAAGAAATATATGCGCAATGCATGACAAGCGGTATGTATCACTACATTGTAGAAAATTCGACAATTAATTATAAATCACAAAAAATTTTACTTAAAACAATCTCAAGTTAAAAATAAAGTACACTCATTCTGTTTTTGATTTTCAGATAATGCAAACAGATATATTAATTTTACTGCCATTTTAAGTAAATACGCCGAATGGCCACTAGTTATGTCTCATCGCAATTGGGACGATAGACATTTGTCGTGGCAAAGCGTTAGCAATAATTTACTTAAAAATGGGTTTCAAAACGGCTTATTTAATATAAAAGTTGTACCGAATATCCAGAATTCCAACAAAAACGTTATCTTTGTACGTATACTATGTTTGTACACGTAAAATATAATACAACATATATTCAGTAAAAGATTTAATATTTCATATTGATATTGTGTTTTTATTGTACTTGTGAAAGAGAGTAATTAAAGTAGCAAAAGCATAATTGCGCAATTGCAAATAAAGACGCTTATGCAGGTTTTGCAAATGGTACGAATATTCCGGTACAGATCGAAGCTGGAGTAATTTTATGAAAATTACGTTTGTTTTTAGATAACTGATCCTGTGTTCTTTTTCTCGCGAAATATCATACTTCAGTTTAACAACAATGAAATACAGAAGAAAGAAATGTACATTAATATTATCAAGAGCTTTGCAATAAATTTAATTGAAGAAAATAACGCTACCGTCAACATAGATACTCTCACTCGAGATATAGAAGACATCGTAAATTTTGAGATTGAAGTGGCTAACGTGAGTATAAAACATTAATATATTCTTTTAATGCAATACATGTATAATGTAAGCGTTTTTTAGTATTATGCTTATTTTCAAACTACATTTATACAGTTTTTTCTTGCGTAATATTTCTTTTGAAATAAATGACATTTATAAAAAGACATTAATAACCGATTATATCAAGTGCTCGTTTAATTTTTTATTATAATGTTCACAGCTGACAATGGAATACGAGTCCTATCACGACTTCAATGAAGTTTATATTCCGCTAACAATTCAACAATTGCAAGAGGAGTATGATAATCAACATCTCAAAACAAAGGGGAAGGTTTGATGCAATGTTCAGTATATATTTTATTATATATAAGTGGTAAATATGATTTTGAAACTGTATTTACAGATCAATTGGCTTGAAATCATTCAAAGCGTTTTTGCGTCAAAAAGAATTGCGATTGAACCGTCTGAAGAGCTCGTCGTTCAAGCGTACAATTATCTTATCTATTTGGGGCCGTTATTAGATCGGACACCATCTCGCACTATTGGTAAGAAAAAGTTTCGAAACAATATAGTTGTAATAATATAATATAATATAAAGTCTAAAAGATAAAAATATGTATATATATATATATATTAAAATGTTGATTAATGTAGAAAAAATTTTTCAATTCAGTAATTAACATTCTTGATTTGTACTGTAATGTGCAATACTGAACAGGTTGCAAGATGGTTTGCAAGATGGTTAAATGAATAAAACAGTTGATTCTCAAACGTTTTGAATGTATTTTCTAGTCTTCATCAATGGGATTCTTGATATGATTCACAACCACATTGTGTTCCGACGATAGAAAATGTCAAAAATAGTCAAATAGTTAAGAAGTTGGTCAAAAGAATTGATAAAACTGAGTCATCAGTTTTCTATCGTTAAAACACAATGTGGTTGTGAGCCATGTCAAAAATCCCGTTGATGAAAACTAGAAATTACAGTCAAAACGTTTGGGAATCAACTGTTCCAATTATTTAACCATTGCAAACCATCCTGCAATCTGTTCAGTATTGCCCACTACATCACAAATCAAGCTTATATATATATTATCAACCCAATATTATAATTATGATTGTAGTTAATCACATGATATGGAACTCAATTCAGTGGTTTTATTTTCGCTACATTAAAAAATCGGAACTAATTAATACTGGAATTGACGATTGGTGGAAGACGTGTATTACACAATCAAATTTAAAACATGCTATTTTACATGAATATGTAAAAAAATATATATCAAACGATACTATACAGGATGTAAGATTCATGCACTTACATAAAATGCATACTGTATAAAAGATAAAGTATAGTACAAGACGAAATTTTTCTAGATTACAAAAATAATCAGAAACGTTAGAGAAACAATTTACGAACAAATAGAAAATTCGACTTGGATTGACGAGCCTACAAAAACGTCTTTAATTAAGACACTTATGTATATAAAGCACGAATTTATTATGCCGGACTGGTACAGCGACGAAGCTATTGACAGATATTACGAAGGCGTAGATACATTTTTTATAGAATAAGAATATTTTAAGTTATAGTAGTTTTTAAATATTTTCTGATTTTGTTGCAATGAAAAAAGACAAGAAATGCACAAATATGTGTTACACTCTTGTTATTTATTTACTCTACTGAGTCTCTCTTTTTAAAAAACAGTACAATTTGAAAACTTTTAACGTGAATTTCAGATGAATGTCAGCACAAACTATCTCGAAACTGCCATAAATTTCTTTCAATTTGAAAGAAAGAAAATGATGCAGTCGCTAAGAATATCTGACATCACTTTAGAGTAAGTTTGTTTACGCTTTTTTTTAAACATATGTAATGTATATTAAGAATACTGGAAAACATAAAATGAAAATGTTATATTTAAATTAAAAACTTCATAATACTCTTCTTTTCATATAATAGATGGGACGTTCAACTGACTTCAATACAAGCGTATTATAATCCTGTTTTACATAGAATTGGTAAAGTTATTAAATTATTAAAGTTAAGTAATACAGAAACTCTGAAATTTCAGTTTTATTATTAATCTTTTTTTGTCATCTTCTTTATATAGTTCTTCCAGCTACTTTATTACAAAATCCAATATATGACAAAACTCGTCTCTCGTAAGTACTCTTTTCTTTAACATTTTACAACAAGAACTTCTTTGTAAAGAGAAGTTTTAAAATTATATTTTCCATTAGATTTATGAACTACGCAGCTCTGGGATCTATTATTGGACATCGCATAAATTACGTCTTTGTTGATAACAGTAAGTAATTGAACTTTTTAGTTTTTATGGATAAAAGAAATATTGTAATCTAATAAAACATATTATTTTCAGATCTTAAGTTCACTGATTACAAATCCTTATCATTGTTAATGCAACAACGTATTATTGAATACATAAGAATAACGCAATGTTTCATCGACCAGTACGACAAGGATTTATTTCCGGAATTAGACAATTTTACTGATGTAAGTAGGTCATATTCGGTGACACATCACAATATTGGCTAGAAATTTTGTTGAATTTTCGTCATATTGAAAGATCTTAACTTTTCAAAAATTCAAAAAAGTCTGGTTTTCTTGTGAATCTTCTAAACTATAGATATAAATGGTTAAATGTTTTCAGATAAACAGAGTAGAGACGTGTAAACAAACCATTGCTGAATCCGCGGCAATTGCAACTGCATATTACGCGTACAAGAACAGACAAATGAGTCTGAACGATTTTGAATGGCGGTTGCAGGGACTACAGCAATATACCGATGATCAGATTTTCTTTATTACGTATGCTCAAGTAAGTAATTATAAACTATTACGGATATACAACAAGATGTGCAGAAATATCTTTGAACTAACGGAATGAAATTATATAGAAGTAGAAGAGGTAATAGTGGTATTTTTTTTTTCAGATGATGTGCGAATATATCCCGTCAGAAAGGATAAATATGCATATAGAAGACGTTTATGTTCCACATGAAATTAAAATTCTCGGCGCTCTTTCGAATTTCCCTGCTTTCTCCGCGGCTTATAACTGCTCCGTGAAAAAGCCAATGAATCCAGAAAGAAAATACGCTCTTTGGTAGATCAATGAAGTATTGTGTTTTTATGTAGCCACAAATGTGTGACGTTTTTTTTTTAAACAACATATTTTAATTAGATTTAATTTTATGTTTGACAACCACGTTATGTAAATTTATTCCCATTTCTTAAAGTTATATAGGTTCGCTTTTGTAATAAAAGACGCATTGACAACATATTTTTGAGTGTTTTCTGCATCACTAATTGTTTCACGAAATTATTTTGTTTAGCGATTTTCGAGAAGCGAGATTTCTTGCAGATCTTAACCTGATTCTGCGTAAATAATTGCTCATACAAATCAATATACTGATAAATCAGTTTTTAGAATCTTTCTTTATTGCCTCAAAAAAGTATAAAAGATGTTTTTTAGTTTATTGTCTTGTATGTGACAAGAACATATATTGTCATATTACTTGTTCAAAAATAATATGTATTGTTCAACTACGTTTTTCTTTACTTTTGTAAATCTTATAATGGTATAATACTTGATCTGTGTAGTAGAAATCACTGAAGTAATTTTGTGTTTTTGATATTAATCTATACAAATTAGAAAAATTAATTTATATTAAACCATTCAAATTAAAAAAATTAACATTTACAACATTGTTTTTGGTTTCCGCATGTATAATATATAAATTTTTCGGGATAAACTTAAGTAATTCTTTGCGCGCCGTACTTTGACAAGTTTCTTTCTATACGACAAATCGTACAGAGAAGGTGAAATTTACAAGAGTGGTGCTATTTCTTCAAAATCACATGATGAACACGAATATGACTCGTGCTTGCTATAAACATCAACAGAGATATAAACCGACGTATCCTAACACACAGCATCAGTCAGCCATAGCCCGTNCGNATGGTTCNNATANGCAATGTGTTAAAAGGTGAAATAGTTAAGAATATATGAACATTGTTATAAGTATAAATTCTATTTTTAAATACATTCATTGCGACAACATATGATTTTTTTAAAAGGAAAACGANTAGTATTATTTATTACACATGGCACATTGATTTAAAATATTTCATGTAGATACTTGCGTATCAAGTCATTACTGTGCGACATTTGACCATCACTTGTCACATTCACATAAGTTTTAATTAACTTAAGTAAATGTTTAATATAATTAACGTTTTTTTTTTACTTTTTTTAACTTTATATAAAAAATTTGATCATTTCCGATTATGAGAAATCATTAACTTGAACGTTTTCGTTTCTTTGCAACTGCAGTTCGTTTGTGTCTTTTTTTGAAATTGTGAACATAAAGACGAAAAGAATCAGTGACGATTCAAATCTTTTGTGGTCCATTNATCTCACACTATGGAGACGTATCGTTTTTTTATGTAAGAATGAATATTACCATTAATATACTATTGTATCTAATTTAAAAATTCTATAATTGGACACACAAGTATTTTTAAATCTGTATTAATTATATATTTCTCGNTCCGTATTTTTGCAGAGTGTTTTTTATATCTGTACCATCTGCGTTTGTAAAATGCGGCGGCTTAAAGAATTACTATGACATACCAATTCAATATAGTTTATGCCACACTGACCAATGTTTAAACACAGGTATATGTTTGCACATTATACTTACGTATATATATATGTATACTCTCATATTTTGCTTCTGTATCATTTTCTATGCGTTTAACCATTAATAAATATATTTATATATTTATTTAGCGTCAGAAATCGAAGCCAGATTAAACCGCACGGTTGATCCTTGCGACGATTTTTACACATTTGCTTGTGGCGGATGGTTGCAAAAAACTCAATTGAATCGGCCGAATTCATACGTTTCTATATTCACTGAGATCTCCGAACAAACAAAGAAACAACTTCGAGGTAATACAANTTTATTATAAATTTAATATATATACGTAGGAATGTATGTAAAATCAAGAGTCAGTAAAGTTTTTGCAAAATCAAAAATGTTTGTGTCTATGTGAATATTATAAAAAACAATTTAAAACGAAAAACTTATTAACATTTCCGTTTTTTTAAATATAAAAAATGTGATTGTGTTCATATTTAGATCTAGTGAAAAATATAGATAGCATAGAAAATTGATTTAATAATACATATATATAGATGTTTAGATATATATACTTGTCTGTTGTTTTCTTGTCTATAGAACTTTTAGAAGAACCAGTTGATATAAATGATACTAAGTCTTTGAGAAAAGCAAAACAAATATATGCGCAATGTTTGACTAAAGGTACGTATCACTACACTGTAGAAAATACAATAATTATCACGAATAGTTTCTCAAAACACAGACGTCTCAAGTTAAAAACAAAAAGTAAACGCATCCTTTTTTGATTCTCAGATAGCAGTTACGCGAAGGAAAACACTAACTATATCGCTATTTTATTGAAGTACNCCGGATGGCCAATACTTATGCNTCANGNCCGCANTTGGGACAAAGNATCTTTGTCGTNGCAACAAATTACTATTGCTTTACATGAAATGGGGTTTGATAACGGCNTTTTTGGTATACAAGTAATATCGAATATNCGANACTTCAATAGTAACATTATCCTCGTACGTATATTATATTTATGCACGCAAAACATATTACAAAATATGATATCTTCAATAACATATTTATTATCACATACTTATTGTGTGCGTGGTCTTATCGTATTTTTATAAGACAGTATACTTGAAGTAACNAAGCAGTTATACATTTGTAAATAAAGACGCAAACACAGATTTTGCAAATATCACGAATATTTCGGTATCNAAGCTGGAGTAACTTTATAAAAATTACGTTTGTTCTTAGATAACTGATCCTATATTTTTTTACTCGCGAGATATCATGGTTCTGCTTAATAAAAATGAAACAGAGAAGAAATACATGTACATATCTTGTATCACAACAATTGCGTCTCATCTTATTAAAGAAATAGATGGAACTGTCGACATGGAAANCCTTACTCGACATGCAGAAGAAATCATAAACTTTGAGGTAGAACTGGCTAGGGTACGTATNGAAAATTATTATATTCTTTTAAATCAATACATGCGTAGACATTTTTAATCATTGCTTCTGTCAAAATATTTTTTATTATTTCTTACGTACTTTCTTACATTTTCTTTGAAACGGATGACATTTATAAAGAGACATTAATAGCCGATTGTGTCAAGTGACCATTTAATTGTTTTATTGCTTACAGCTGACAATGCCATATGAAGATTANGCTGACCCTGATAAGGTGTATAATTTAATAACAATCCAACAATTTCAAGTGGAATACGATAAACAACATCCCAGCGACAAGGGAAAAGTATGATGCAATGTTTGATATATATTTTATTTTATATAATAGTGACTACAATTTTATTTACAGATCAATTGGCTTGAAATCATTCAAAACGTTTTTGCGTCAGAAAAAATCGCGATAGGACCGTCTGAGAAACTCGTCGTTCAACCGTTCAATTATCTTACTAGTGTAGTATCGTTACTAGAACGTACACCATCCCGTATTATTNGTAAGAACAATTTTTCAAACCATGAAATTAAAAAAAATAATACAATATAAATAAAGTATTACGAAAAATGTGTTACCAAAACAGTACTATAATTGTGATTGCAGTTAATTACATGATATGGAGCTCAATTCACTGGTTTTATTTTAATTCTATTGAAACNAGCGTAAATGACAATTGGTGTATTGACNAATTCAATTTGAAATTTGCTATTTTGCATGAATANGTAAAAAAATACGTATCACTCGATAGTATAAACAANGTAAGATTCATGCAGTTACATAAAATACATATTGTATATTATATNAATTAGAAGTGTAANTGCATTACAAGACAAAATTGTTTTAGATCNCAGAAATACTCGCGAACATTGAANATACACTTACNAAACGCGTAAAAGATACCGCTTGGATAGATGAGTCTAAAAAAAAAGAAATTTTTGAGAAACTTCAGTATACAAGACACAGATTTGTTACACCCGATGTTTTTAACAGCGACGAAGCTATGGATAAATATTACGAAAACGTAGGTACACTTTCTAAAAGAAGAATATTTCTAAGTTGTAGTGCTTTTTCAAAAATGTAAATTTTAGGTGGATGTCGGCAGTAATTATCTCGACACAGTTATAAATGTATTTCTATTCGAGAAGAAGAAAATGATGCGATCGCTAAGAACACCTGATAGCATTTTTGAGTAAGTAATATTTTTTACATTATTTCAAACAATACACACTTGTAAAAATTTACAAGTAAAATTCGTTACATGTATATATATATATATATATATATGTACACGCACAGTTTCCGCACAAACATCCTGCGAATGACTCGTATGGCCATATATATTTCTTTTTTACATTATTGTTTCTAAATATGTAATATGTACTAAACATAATGTAAAACATACCAAAAATGTTATATCTAAAGTAACAACTTCATAGTATATCTCTTATTTTTGTGTAATAGACAGAATGTTGACTTGACTTCGGTGCAAGATTATTACANTCCAGGTGTACATAAAATTGGTAAAAGTGTTACGTTATTAAGAATAAGTGATATAGAAATTCTACCTTTTTAGTTTTATTTCATTAATCTAATTTGTCACCCTTTGTATTGTAGTNGTTCCAGCCACCATATTACGAACTCCCTTATTTGACGGAAATCGTCTTCCGTAAGTACTTTTTTCTTTAACGTTATACGACAAGAATTTCTTTAGAAAAAGAAGTTCTAAAATCACATTTTCTATTAGATTCTTGAACTACGGATCTTTTGGAGTTTTTATTGGACAATACTTTTATTCCGCCTTTAGTGACGACGGTATGTACTTTCCTAGTTTTTGTCGATAAAAAATATCGTAATATAATGTGACATATTGTTTACAGATGTTAAGATAACAAAGAAAGACAGCAGATCAGTTATCTTATCATNATTGTCACGACTACCTATCAATGAATCGGAAATAATGCAATGTTTCATTGATCTACAAATGTCCAAATGTCCATTTTGGGGAAAAAAATTAGAACATATTAACATTAACGTAAGTAAATCACACGGTGACGCACCACAAAAGTGTTGGCTAATAATTTTTGATTTTTTCTGACATGTGAGAATTTTATTTCAATTTTTTTACAATAAAACAAAATTTATTTAATTTTTTTGTAAATTTTCTATGCTAAAGAAATAGTCGAATGTTCTCAGGAAATCGAAGCAGGAAGAAAATTTAAAGAAAACATAATCGATTTAATAACAGTTACAATTGCATATAACGCGTTCAAGTACAGAACAGAGAGGTTGAACGATTTTGAATGGCGGTTGCGGGGATTAGAGCAGTATAGCAATGATCAGATGTTTTTCATAACTTATGCTCAAGTAAGCAATTAATAAAGTGTTATATGGGGTATATGATATGTGCAGAAATGTCTTTTTCACTTACTAGAAGCCGATGAAATTATTTGGACAGAGTAAAAAGTAGTGGTAGTAATGATATTATTTTTTTTTTTTAGACGATGTGCGAAAATATTCCGCCGGAACAATTAAAGTGGCGTATGAAGAACTTTCGTAGTCTAAATAAAATTAGGATTCGCGACAGTCTTTCGTACATCCCTAAATTCTCCGAGGCTTATAACTGTTCTGCGGAAAAACCAATGAATCAAAATGAAAAAAATTGAGCTTTTAGTTAATAGATAGGCGAAATAAAATGTTGTTATTGTAGCTAGAAAATTATAAATACGTTCGTTTTTAAACATTTTACTGTAATCTAATTTAATTTAAAGTCTGACAATTACGTATATTAAATATATAAATGTATATATTTATATTGAAATGTAATATTCTTTCGCTTCTCTAATAAAAGACGTATTGACAATATATTCTTGAGTGTTTTTTTTCTTATTAATAAAATGTGACACAAAATCAGTTTGCCTTGTGAACATTATTTGCAAAAATTGTTACGATATTTCTTGCAATCCTTAATCTGATATTTTTTATAAAGAAGTGCTCAAGCAATTCAATATACTGATAAATTATTTTCTTCTGTATATTTTACAAGTTAATAACAAAGAATCGTGCTATAACACAGTGCCATTATCTATAATACCTAGCACAATATATTATTTTAATAACTAGAGCACAAATTATTAACGATACCTTATGAGTTTATGTCATATATCTCTTAACAGTTTTAATTACAATTTTTCTTCCTCTTAATATAATATGACAGATGTGTTATATAAAAAACTGAAGTCTTTTTCTGTTACCATTATGAGCGAAACCTTTTTTGCAATTTTATTCATTTCTCTTTGAGTATTGGAATAACCTGTGATTAAATTGTATTTATTCGACACATATGGAAATATACCGTATGTTTGAAGTGAACCTCGTAGCAAATAATCAGTTACGGTTTATACAGAACTTGATACGTAATCCTATCAAAAACTCATGATAACAATTTCAGATTATTTTTATTTCTTAATTATTGCTATAACATATAAATTATATCATATAAATTTTCGAAATTAATTAATAATTCTTTGCGCGTCNTATTTTAACAAGTTTCTTTCTATACGACGAATCATACAGACGAAGCTGAAGTTTACAAGAGTGGTGCTGTTTCAAAATCACATGATGAACACGAATATGACTCGTGCTTGCTATAAACTCCAATGAGAGAACCGACGTATGGATCTTTATCCCAGCACACAAACAGGATCAGTCAGTCATAGCCCGCGCAATGATTCGGTAGCTGCAAAGCAATGTGCTAAGCTTAGAGTTGAAAAAAATTAAGAATATAAGAACATTGTTATAAGTACACATTTTGGTTTCAAATACTTTCATCGCGAGAAACATTTACATATAATCTTTGCAAGAGAGACGAATATTACTGTTTATTACACATGCCACGTTTTTTTTATTCAAAAGTAGTACATTTCATGTACTTAGATACTTGCGTATTAAGTGCGTCATTACCTTGAGACAATTGAACACCACTTTTCACATACACGTAAGTTTTAATAAATTATCTAAATAAACGTATAATATAATTAACGGTTGTCTTTTTATTTTTGTTATAACTCTATTTAAAAAATTCGATCATTTTTGACTATAAAAAACTATTACCATTTTTGTTTTTAGTTGTACCGACAGTTCATTAGTGAATCTTCTTTGAAATCGCGAAAACAAAGTCGAAAAGAATCAGTGAGGATTCAATTAGGTTGTGTTACAATTTTCTCATAAAATGGAGACGTACCGTCTTTTTATGTAAGAATAAATATCACTATAATTATTATTGTATCTATTTTAATAATTCTACAATTGCGTACACAAGTGTTTTTATTTTTTGTAGTAATTATACATTTTTCGTTTCGTATTTTAGAAGACTTTTTCTAATAGCTGTAACGCACGCGTATGTTATATTCGGCTCTGTGATACATTTCCCCGATACGGTAATGACACCGTATGAGTTATGCGCAACTGATCAATGTATAAACACAGGTATACGTTGCAAAGTATCTACATATGTACATAAACGTACATCTTTAGAATTTTGCTTTTTTTGTATCTTTTCCTATGCGTTTGAGCACAAATAGATCTATTTTTTATTTAGGTTCAGAAATTATATTCAATTTAAATCACTTGATTGATCCTTGCGACAATTTTTATAAATTTGCTTGTGGCGGATGGTTGCAAAAAATTCACGAAATGAATTTGTCGAATTCATACATTTTAAGAATCTACGAGAACACTGAACGCGAAGCAAGGAAACAATTTCGAGGTAATACAGTTTTAGTATAAATTTAATAATATATATCTTAGTATATATTAATAGTATTACATAATAACAATCTGTTGTTTTCTTGTCCATAGAAATCATAGAACAACCCGATAAAGAAAGTGATGCTAAGTCTTTGAGAAAAGCGAAACAAATATATACGCAGTGCATGAAAAATGGTACGTATAGCTACGATATAGAAAATACAATAATTATCACAAATAGTGTTACTCAAAACACAAACAGTTGTAAGATAAAAATAAAGTGAACGCATTTTTTTTTATTCTCAGATGTCATTGACGCCACGAATAGAACGCTTAACTATAGCGCTATTTTATTTAAGTATGTTGAGTGGCCACTACTTATGACTTCTCGCAGTAGGAAACATTTTTCGTGGCACCATACCGCTAATGATTTATATAAAATAGGGTTTAACAACGGTCTTTTTAATATAGAAGTAATACCGGATATCCGAAACTTCAATAGTAACATTATCTTTGTACGTATATTATATTTATGCACGCAAAACATATTACGAAATATCTTCAATAACATATTTATTATCACGTGCACATTGTGTGCGTGATCGTATCGTATTTGTATGAGACAGTACTTGAAGTAACAAAACAAAATTATACAGTTTTAAATAAAGACGTATATACAGAGTGTGCAAATATCACGAATATTTCGGTACAGATCGAAGCTGAGGTAATTTTACAAAAATTATGTTTGTTCTTAGATAAGTGAACCTACGTTTTTTTACTCGCGAGATGTCACGGTTCTGCTTAACGAAACTGAAAAACAAAAGAGAGAAACGTACAAAGCTCTTATCTTAAACATTGGATTTTATCTTTTTGAAGCAACGCACGGGGAATCGACTGTCGATATGAACATCCTTAATCAACATGTAGAAGAACTCATAAACTTTGAGATAGAACTGGCTAGCGTGAGTATGGAAAATCATTATATTCTTTTAAAGCAATACATGTAGTGCAGACATTTTCAATTATTGTTCCTGTCAACATGTTTTTTATCATTTCTTACGTACACTTTCTTACATTTTCTTTGAAACAAATGACATTTTTAAAAAAACACCAATAGCCGATTGTGTTAAGTGACCATTTAATTGTTTTATTGCTCACAGCTGACAGTGATAAACGAAGTGAAGGACAATTATAAGTATCTTTTTCGGCTAACAATCGAACAATTGCAAAAGGAATATGATAAGCAACATCCCGGTAAAAAGGGGAAGGTCTGATGCAATATTCTGTATATCTTTTATTCTATATAATAATCATTAATTTTACTTACAGATTAATTGGCTTAAAACCATTCAAAGCGTCTGTGCATCAGACAAAATTTCGATAGGACCGTCTGAAAAGCTCTACGTTTCAGCATACAGTTATCTTACTAAATTGGTACCGTTACTAGAACGAACACCATCTCGTATTATTGGTAAGAGAAGTTTTCCAAATGGTCAAATTTAAAAAGAATAATATAAAATGAAGTATTAGAGGAAACGTATTATCAAACCAATAATACAATTGTGATTGCAGTTAATTACATGGTATGGACCTTAATTCGCTCGTTTTATTTTCACTTTGTAAAAGTTTTACTGAACAATGACATCAATATGGACAAATGGTCGTTCACATGCGTAACAGATTTAAATTTGAAAGCTGCTATTTTGCATGAATATGTAAAAAGATACGTATCGCGCGATAGTATAGACAACGTAAGTATTCATGCAGTTACATAAAATATTGTATTGTATATGATGTGAATTAAACGCGTATATTATAAGATAAAATAAAAATTTTAGATAAAAAAATTAATCACAGACGTACAAAATACATTTATGGAACAGATAGAAAATTCCACTTGGATGGACGAGCCTACAAAAAAAGCGTCTCTTGATAAATTTGCGTTTATGAGACACCTATTTCTTATGCCTGATTTTTTGAACAGCAGCGAAGCTATTGACAGATATTACGAAGACGTAGGTACACTTTCTAAAAGAAGAATATTTCTAAGTTGTAGTGCTTTTTCAAAATTTTCACATTTTTTTGCGGTGAAGAAAAAGAAAAAATTCATGAATTTTGTACATTTTTGTTATTTATTTGCTCTACTGTATGAGTTTTTACAAAAGAAGCACTTTCTAAAAAAAGTATAACATGAATTTTAGGTGAATATCAACACAAACTATCTCGAAACTGTCATGAATATAACTCTATTTCGAAGAAAGAAAATGATGAGTATGTCAACGATATCTGACAACATTTTTGAGTAAGTCTGTTTACTATTCTTTCTAAATAAGTAATATTAAACATAATATAAATCATACTAACTGTTATGTCTAAATTAAGAACTTCATTGTATATTCTTATTTCTGTGCAATAGAGCGGATATTGACCTGGTTAATATGGAAATTTACTACTCTCCTGTCTTCAAAATTGGTAAAAGTTTTATGTTATTAAGGATAAGTAATATAGAAATTTTAACTTTTCAGTTATGTTATCAATCGAATTTGTCATATGTATTTTTTGTATGTAGTCGTTCCAGCCCCGACGTTGTTACAAGATCCTGCATATGACAAAAATCGTTTTGCGTAAGTATTTTTACTTGTAACATTTTGCGACAAAAATTTCTTTGTAAAAAGAATTTGTAAGATTACATTTTTCTATTAGATATATGAACTACGGATCTCAGGAATTTATTATTAGACATCACATGTATGAGGCTTTCTATGATAGTAAGTACTTTTCTAGTTGTTTATTGATGAAAAATATCGTAATATAATGTATAATATATTGTTTACAGTTCTTGAGTATAACGGGATGTTGTCACGACAATTTGTCAATGATCCGGAACTAACGCAATGTTTCATTGATAAATACAACAACTATCAATTGCCGGGATTAGAACATATCGTCGCTCACGTAAGTAAATTACGACGCACCATAAAAGTGCTGTCTAAAAACTTTTGACTTTTCGTGTTATTTACTAAACATCTCAGTTTTTTCACAATAAAACAATCTATTCAGTTTTCTTGTAAGTTTGTTATGTTATATATATAGTCGAATGTTCTCAGGCAAAAGGAATCAAGACACTTCTTAAAAACAACATCATTGACTCTGCGGTAATTGCAGATGCATATTACGCGTACAAGAACAGAAAAGCGAAGCTGCCGCTCGATTACGAGTGGCGGTTTTATGGACTGGAGGAATATAACGATGATCAGATGTTTTTTATAACTTATGCTCAAGTAAGCAGTTAATAAAGTGTTACGGATATATGATACGTGCACAGAAATGATTTTCACTTACAAAGCCGATGAAATTATTTGGAAAAAATGAAAAGTAGTAGTAGTAATGATATTATCTTTTTTTGTTTTTAGGCGATGTGCGAAAATATTCCGCCGGCACAATTAGAGTGGCGTATAAAGAACTTTTATATTTCAAATGAAATTAGAGTTCGCGATACTCTTATTAATTTCCCTGAATTCTCCGCGGCTTACAACTGCCCTGTAGGAAAGCCAATGAATCCGGAAAAAAAATGCAATTTTCGATAGTAAACCGACGAAGTATTGTGTTATGTAGCTACTACGAGATAGTAGGGATGTCTTTTTTTGAACAACATATTTTACTTAAATTGAATTTAAAAGTTAGATAGCTATGTTATGTGTATACAGTTTTATGTTTTAATGTAATATATTATAGCTTCGCTTTTTTAATAAAAAACGCAATGACAATATATTCTTGAGTATGTCCTACGTATTATTGAAACGTTCCACATCATTTTGTTTTGCTACCTTCATATGCAAAAATTGTTACAAAATTTCTTTAATCTATTGAATCAGTCAAGTTCATATATTTCTACGTTCATACGTTTACCGAGATTACCGAACAAACGGAGAAGCAACTTCGAGGTACAGTTTGAGTATAACTTTAATGTTTACAGAGAAGTGTGTGTATGTACAAATACAAATATCTTTAAAAAGTGTGAAACTGTGCATATCAAATCGAGCTAAACTTATGTGTTTTGTTTACAAGTATTCGTTTACCATAGCAAACGGACGATAAGATTTCCATTTTATTTCTTGATTTACTTCTTATTTTGACTGACGTACATTTATTTTAATCTACTTTACACAACGTAAAATTTCAAAAATATATCAATCATCTAATAGAAACATGTAACTCATACAAGAAAAGAGACTGATTATACAAACACCAAAGTCATAGCAATAGTACGTACATACAAATATAAACATTATTATAAAAATAACAATATTTGCTCCACTTCTTGCTTTACTTTATAGTCATTTGATACTTTTTGAATTCTAAAGTACCTTTTGACTTATTGCATACTTTAACATACATTGTCGTGTATTCAATGTCTTGAAAGAAATTGCAGTAAAACTTCAGTAAATTCGTGTGCATGAGATCAAGTCTAGAACATTGAATACTTTTTTTTTCTCCATTAGCGACCGACTGTTGACAAGAGACACGAGATATATGTTTCTCTTATTCCATCTCTGATACATTTTCGATATATTTATTTAAAAGATTCAGTGTATTTTTATCCTGAGAAAAGCTATCAAAAGGTATGAAGAAAACAGTTAGACTTTTCGAGTAAAGATAAGCGCGCATTCTTCGAGTTGCACTCAAGAATATCAGGGAATTATCAATAATGGGAGAAACATTTGGATCGCCCTGAAAAAGGAGAAGTCGTAATCGTGTTGCTCTAAATTACTCCAGTAACGTTATATTTGTACGTATACTATGTTTATATACACGTAAAATATAATACAAAATATATTCAGTTAAAGATTTAATATTTCACATTGATAATGTGTATTTATTGTACTTGTGCAAGACAGTAATTAAAGTAGCAATAGCACTTATGCATTTGCAAATAAAAACGCATACGCAGATTTTGCAAGTGATACAAATATTTCGGTACAGATCGAAGCTAGAGTAATTTTACGAAAAGTACGTTTGTTTTTAGATAACTGATCTTGTGTTTTTTTTTCTCGCGAGACGACATGATTCAGCTTTACAAAAATGAAATACAGAAAAAAGAAATATACGTCACTATTATCATCATCTTTGTGTTATATTTGACTGAAGAAACTAACGGACCTGTCGGCATGAATATTCTCTTACTTGAGATGTAGAAAACATGATCAGTATAACAAATATCCATATGAGTATGTAAATAGGTTATATGCCGTGACCCATCACAAAAGTGTTTGCTAAAAAGTTTTGAATTTTTGTGATAGAAATCTCAATTTTTTTGAAATTTAAAAAAAATCTAATTTTTTAGTGAATTTTCAAAGATGTATAAACAGTCGAATGTTCTCAGGTAAACGGACACGTGACGACTAAAGGGAGCAACGTTAACTTTGCGGCACTTGCAGCTGCATATTACGCGTACAAGAATAAACAAGTGAGGCAGAACGATTATGAATGGCGATTGCAGAGACTGAGTGGAGTATAGCGATGATTAGATATTCTTTATAACGTATGCTCAAGTAATTATAAATTATTACGGATATACAACACAAGATGTGTAGAAGTGTCTTTCAACTAACGAAATGACATTACATGGAAGTTGACATTACAAGGTTGTTATGGTATTATTTTTTCATTTTTCAGATAATGTGCGAAAATGTCTCGCCTAAAATGATAGAGATGCGTAGAAAGATCATCTATGCTCCAAATAAAATTAGGATTCGCGGCAATCTTTCGAATTTCTTTGCTTTTTCCGCGGCTTACAAATGCCCTGTGAGAAAACCAATGAATCCCGAGAGAAAATGCACTTTTTGGGAGTAGATCGACGTACGTTTTTATACAACATGTTATAAGTAGATTTAATTTTAAGTGTGACATCCAATTATAAATATCTAATTCCATTTTTGTAAACGTTATATAGCTTTGCTTCTCTAATAAAAGACGCAGTGACAATATATTCTTGAATGTTCTTTGCATTATTGAAGCGTTCCACGAAATATTTCTTGCACACAATATAGTAGATATTTCTTGCAGTCTTTAATCTGGTAATCTTTGTAAAGAAGTATATAAGTATATTTTGCAAGTCGATAACAAAAACTAAGATCGTGCTGCGCAGAAGTGACATATTCAATAACTATCACGAATTATTAACAATAATTTCTGAGTGTACGTTATATATCTCTTAGTAGTTTTGCTTATAATTTTTCTTTTTTCTATTATTTTATTGTCGAAATTAATATAAGTAAATATGAGCGCGCCATACACTATAATACGTATTATATTTTATTACATATACGACGATTCACATAGTAAAGATCGAACTTACAGGAGTGGTTCTTTCAAGATCACGTGACGAACACAAACATGATTTGAGCTTGCTATGCGCTGTATATAAGGAGACGATGCATCGCGCTTTATCCTAACACACAAACAGGATCAGTCAGGCATAGCTCGCGCATTGATTTGGTAGCTGAAAAGCAATACGCTAAGTAGGTAAAAATATATGAACATTTTTATAAAAATATAATGCAGTTTTAAATTTTTATTGCAAAAAGTTCAATATATGAAAAAAGAAACAAACGACTGTTTGTTATTGTTCATAATAATTCTCTCGTTAAATTACATTTCACATTTAGATATGTGCATACCAAATGCATTCTTATTCTACGACTTTTAAATACTTGCTCCGTCGCTTCACTTGCCAGATACACGTAAGTTTACATACACGTATAAGTATTATATGTATTATACGTGCACTACTATTTTTATTAAATTTTTTTTTCTTGTTTTTACTTTTAGTAACAATTTGAACACTTCCAACTATAAAATATATTTAACTTAAGTATTTGATCTTACGCGACGGCATTTCTTTAGTGTCTTTCTTCGACATCACGAACACATGGTCAGAACGAACCAGTGACAAATTAATTTGTTTTGTGTTACAACCTCCTCACACCATGAAGACCCGTTTTTTAATGTAAGAAGAATAAATATTACCACTCTTACTACTGTATCTACTTTAACTCACACCATGAAGACTCGTTTTTTAATGTAAGAAGAATGAATATTACCACTCTTACTACTGTATCTACTTTAACAATTCTATAATCATGCACAAGTGTATTCATATTTGTAGTAATTATAATATTTTTCGTTTAGTATATGACGTATTTTTGCAGAGTGTTTCTGATAACTGTAATGTGCGCGTACATTACATTCGGCCGTGAAATAAATTACCATGGTATATTAATTCAATATGCTTTATGCGCAACTAAACACTGTTTAAACACAGGTATATGTTTGCAATATACATATGTATATGCTTTTACTTTTGTATCTTTTTCTATGTGGTTGACTATTAATAAATCTATTGTTTATTTAGCTTCAGAGATTAAAGCCAAACTAAACCGCACGGTTGATCCTTGCGACGATTTTTACAAATTTGCTTGTGGCGGATGGTTGCAAAAAACTAAATTGAATCAGTCAGATTCATACGTTTCTACGTTTACCGAGATTACCGAACAAACAGAAAAGCAACTTCGAGGTACAGTTTGAGTATAACTTTAATGTCTACATATAAGTGTATGTATGTACAAATACAAATATCTTTAAAAAGTGTGAAACTGTGCAACTTGAGCTAAACTTATGTGTTTTGTTTACAAGTATTCGTTTACCATAGCAAACGGACGATAAGATTTCCATTTTATTTCTTGATTTACTTCTTATTTTGACTGACGTACATTTATTTTAATTTACTTTACACAACGTAAAAAATATATAAATTATCTAATAGAAACATGTAACTCATACAAGAAAAGAGATTGATTATACAAACACCGAAGTCATAGCAATAATACATACAAATATAAATATTTATAAAAATAACAACATTTGTGCTCCACTTCTTGATTTACTTTATAAATGGTTATTTGATACTTTTTGAATTCTAAAGTCACTTTTGACTTATTGTATACTTTTAAATACATTGTCGTGTAGTCAATGTCTTGAAAGAAATTGCAGTAAAATTTCAGTAAGTTCGTGCGCATGAGATCAAGTCTAGAACATTGAATACTTTTTTTCTTCTCCATTAGCGACCGACTGTTGACAAGAGACACGAGATATATATTTCTCTTACTTCATCTCTGATACGTTTTCGACAATTTTATTTAAAAGATTCAGTATAGTTTTGTCTATCCTTATCCAGAGGAAAGCTATCGGAAAATATACAGAAAGCAGTTACACTTTTCGAGTAAAGATAAGCGCGCGTTCTTCGAGTTGCACTCAAGAACACCAGGGAATTATCAATACTAAAGGAAACATTTAGATAGCCCTGAAAAGGGAGAAGTTCAAACTGTGATGCTCTAAATTAATGCAGTTTTACCGTAGTCTACTAAAACAAGAAATCATAGACGTTTAATATCAAAATTTTTGTATTTTTATGAATTAAATAAAATACAAGTTGTAACGAAAAACGTATTTGTCATTTGGGTATGTTTTTGATAATAAATAATTTGATTGTGTTTGTATTTAGATTCATAAAGAAATATAGATAAAGTCAAATGAAATATATTTCAGAATACATATGTTTAGGTATATCACAATCAGTATTGATAAATAACAATCTGTCGTTTTCTTGCCTTTAGAGCTCTTAGAAGAATCACCTAAAGAAAGTGATACGAAATCTTTTAAAAAAGCGAAAAAAATATATGCGCAATGCGTGACAAAAGGTATGTATATCTAATGTCGTAAAAAGTACGAAAATTAACTAATACTCACGAAAACTTTTATACATAAATCAAAACAAATATCAAGTTACAAATAAAGCAAACGCATTTTTTTTTTAATTTTTAGATAACAATGATGCAAACGGAAATATTAATTTTACCGCCATTTTAAGTAAATACGCCGAATGGCCACTAGTTATGCCTTATCGCAATTGGGACGATGAACATTTGTGGTGGCAAATTGTTAGCAGTGCTTTACTTAAAAATGGGTTTCAAAACGGCCTATTTAATATAAAAGTGGTGCCGGATGTTCGAAATTCTACCGGTAACGTTATCTTTGTACGTATACTATGTTTATACACATAAAATATAATACAAAATATATTCAGTTAAAGATTTAATATTTCACATTGATACAGTGTATTTATTGTACTTGTGCAAGAAAGTAATTGAAGTAGCACTTATGCATTTGCAAATAAAAACGCATACGCAGATTTTGCAAATGATACAAATATTTCGGTACATATCAATGCTGGAATAATTTTACGAAAAGTACGTTTGTTTTTAGATATCTGATCCTGTGTTCTTTTTCTCGCGAGATGACATGATTCAGCTTTCCGTAAATGAAATACAGAAAAAAATGTACATCAATATTATCACCACCTTTGCGTTACATTTGATTGAAGAAACTAACGGAACTGTCGACATGGATACTCTTATTCGAGATATAGAAGACATGATAGAATTTGAAATAAAACTGGCTAATGTGAGTATGAAACATTATTATATTTTTTTCAAGCAATATGCAGTGTAAGCATTTATAAGTATTGCTTATTTCTAATTACTTTTTACCATGTTTTCTTTACGTAATATTTGTTTGTTTTGTAAACGATGACAGTTATAAAAACACAGTAACCGATTGTCAAGTGATCGTTTAATTGTTGTTATTTCACAGCTGACAATGAGTTACCAACCCTACGCAAACGTTAATCAAATTTCTCGTCCGCTAACAATTTATCAGTTGCAAGTGGAGTATCTTAAGGAAGTGGATCATCTTACACCAAAAGGAATGGTTTGTGTGATTTATTGTTCAGTATACATTTTATTACATAAAAGTGATTAAGATGATTGTGGAACTTTATTTACAGATTGATTGGCTTGACACTATTCAAAGCGTCTTTGCGTCAGAAGGAATTGTGATTGGATACTTTGAGAAGCTCGTCGTTCAAGCGTACGATTATATTCTTCAATTAGTACCGTTACTACAGCAAACACCATCTCGCACTATTGGTAAGAGAAATTTTCAGAACAATAAACTTTTAAGGAATAATATAGTTTAAAGAAAAAAATATACATAAATATATATTATCAACCAATATTATATTTGTGATTGCAGTTAATCATATGATATGGAATTCAATTCAGCGGTTTTATTTTCGTGACACTAAAAACTTGAAACCGAGCAATAACAAAATTGACAATCGGTGGAAAATGTGCATTACACAATCAAATTTGAAACATGCTATTTTGCATGAATATGTAAAAAAATACTTATCAAAGAATACTATACAGGACGTAAGATTCATGCAATTACACAAAATACACATTGTATATAACATGAATTGCACTTGTAGATATTATAAAACGAAATTATTTTAGATCACATCAATACTTACGAACGTTAAAAACGCAATTCGCGAACAAATAGAGAATTCCGCTTGGATGGACGAGCCAATAAGAGAAACGTATCTTGAGAGACTTACGTATATGAAACACGAATTTATTATGCCCGAGTGGTACAACGACGAAGCTATTGATAGATATTACGAAAACGTAGGTACACTTACTAAAATAAACTAAAAATACTTTTTAGGTAAAGTTCATTTTTAGTAATTTCTGATTTTTTGCAACAAAAAAAGAGAAGAAATGCACGAATATGTTACATTCTTATATTATTTATTTATTTTACTGTACGAGACTTATCAAAAGAAATAGGTTGCGAGAGAAAACAATTGTAATGTACATTTTAGGTTTCTATCAGCACGAACTATCTCGACACTGCCATACAGTTATATCAATTCGAAAGAAAGAAAATGATACGGTCGCTAAGGACACCTGACATTACTTTGGAGTAAGTCTTTACGCTTTTATTAAACATGGTTAGAAATATTAAACATAATGTAACACATAATAAAAATGATATATCTAAATTCAGAACTTCATATTACTTTTTTTTTCATTTACTAGATGGGATGTTGATCTGACAACAGATACTTACTATAATTCAGGTCCAGAAAAAACTGGTAAAGTTGTTAAATTATGAAGAATAAGTGATACAAAACATTGAAATTTTCAGTTTTATTATTACTTTATTTTGTTATCTTCTGCATGTAGTTGTCCCAGCCACCGTATTACAAACTCCTATATATGACAGCAATATTCCGTAAGTACTTTTTCTTTTAACATTTTCTGACAAAAAATTTTTTTTTAAAACGTTGTTTTAACATTACATTTTCTATTAGATTTCTGAACTACGGAACTCTAGGTTTTCTTAGTGGACATCGCATAAATTACGACTTAGTTGATAACCGTAAGTAACTTTCTAGTTTTTGTCGATGAGAAAAAAATATTGTACAATAATGATTACAGATGTAAAGTACAACAGCAATGGCAGAGTCGTATCATTAATAACAACACAAAAAAGTATCAACGAATTCAGAAAAATAATAAATTGTGCCGCTGACCAGTACAGCAAGTATCCATATCCGGGATTAGAAGATAAGTATGTAAGTAGGTTATATACGGTAACCCATCACAAAAGTGTTTGCTAAAAAGTTTTGAATTTTCGTGATAGAGATCTCATTTTTTTCGAAATTTCGAAGAAATTTAATTTTCTAGTAAATTCCTGAAATCTGTATAAATTGTCGAATGTTCTTAGGTACACGGACGCGTGACGGTTAAAGAGAGCATCATTGACTTTGCGTCACTTTCAGCTGCATATTACGCGTACAAGAACAAACAAGTGAGGCAGAACGATTATGAATGGCGAATGCAGGGACTGGAGGAGTATAGCGATGATCAGATATTCTTTATAACGTATGCTCAAGTAAGTAATTATAAATTATTACGGATATACAACACAAGATGTGTAAAAGTGTCTCTCAACTAACGGAATAACATTACATGGAAGTAGAAGGTTGTTATATGGTATTATTTTTTCATTTTTCAGATGATGTGCGAAAATGTCCCGTCGAAAATGATAGAGATGCATAGAAAGATCATCTATACTACAAATGAAATTAGGATTCGTGGCAGTCTTTCGAATTTTCCAGCTTTTTCCGCGGCTTACAAATGCCCTGTGGGAAAACCAATGAATCCCGAGAAAAAATGCACTTTTTGGGAATAGATCGACGTTCGTTTTTATACAACATAATATGTTGTAATATAATTAGATTCACTTTTAAGTCTGACATCCACGTTATGTATATCTATTTCTATTTTTAAACGTTATATAGCTTCGCTATTGTAATAAAGAACGCATTGACAACATATTTTCGAGGGTTTTCTGCATTACTAAAGTGTTTCACAAAATCATTTTATTTAGCGATTTTCGAGAAGCGAGATTTCTTGCAGATCTTAACCTGATTCTGCGTAGATAATTGCTCATACAAATCAATATACTGATAAATTATTTTTTAGAATCTTTCTGTATTGCCTCAAAAAAGTATAAAAAATGTTTTTTTTGTTTATTGTCTTGTATGTGACAAAAACATATATCGTCATATTACTTGTTCAAAGATACTATGTGTTGTTCAACTACGTTTCTCTTTAATTTTATAAATATTATAATTGTATAATTGTATAACATTTTTATTATTGTATAACTAATAAGTAATAGTATCGGATTACACACGAAATTTTAATTTTTGGAGGCCCGATTTAAGTTCAACCGATAAACTCGGTTGAAGGGAACCGGTCCGGAAAAATCCGGCTCCCTAGGCGAGCGGATTCAAACTCGGGACCTCCCTGTTCATAGCCCCGGCACTCAGGCCGCGAGACTACTGGGCCAGGTCTCGCTCTTGTAGGTAGGTTACTAACGAATACCAAAACCTTGCAACTGACTGTGACATACGTGTTCCAATTAATTGCTCAAATTATCATCAATTATTCACAACTAGACGATTGTTCGTCAATTGTGGTAGTTTAAATTTTTTTGCATATTTTCATATAAAATGGATTTATAATTTTGAAAGGTTTTCTCAAAGTATGTAGGCCTCAGCAAATATAACGAGTGTTTCCGCATTTCCGAGCGTATTCGAAAAATTATACAATTCTATAAAATTCTCCTTGCGCATCACGATGCACTGATTAAGGTGCGTTTACTCGCAACATAACGGATTACGTCGTGTGTTCGAGTCGAATCCTCGCGCGAGATAATAACTCGCAGTTCAAGCAGAAATCGATACGCATTTTCTCGCGAGAGCTTATCGACCGCGTAAGCGTGAGATTTCTCCGTCAATCGGATTATATATATATATATATATCTTATTTAAGTAGATTAATATATGTGACACTGTGTTCGATGATCGCACTCTTTATGGATGAATTCTTTATCGAACGAAACCGCGATTTGGAAAGCAGGTCGTGCATGAAAGTATAATTAGCTCATCGCGCTCTCGCGAGCGTTTAATCGTTCCGGCGACTATTAATTTCAACGATTAAGGTCTGGCTTCGAGACGTCGCCGTGCACAAGATATTTCTCATCGACCGTGTAATCGCCAAGTTAGCGAAATGATTGAAGTCCCCAATTAAGAGCGATATGTACATGTGTTCGCACTCAGAGAAACATACATATATGTATGCGTATGTGGATTTGGACTTACATTAGTCTTCTCACAGTGGAGAACATAGATAGATAGTTGACATACATTGTCGATGGAAATTGTGTGTTTTATCTATGTTATGTCTATTATTTGTCTATATTACTTTTTGTGGGTTTTTTTTATAAGAAATTGCGGTATTACAAATTGAAGATTACACATCGATGACTTGTCATCTATTTTGAAATTTCGAAAATTTATTGTTGTCAGATTTACACCATATAAATTGTTCATCGATTGTTCTCGCAAAAAAAAATACACATTTCTTATTGCAGCAAAATCTTCAATCAAACTAACGTTTCTTTTTTACTTCTTTGCTTTTTACGTCTCAAAATTATGAAAAATAATTTATTTGGATAACAATTGAATTTAAAATCTGTGCAATGCGAAAATTTTGGAAAATTTCTTACAAAAAAGAAAGTGATAAAATAAATGAAAAAGTATCGTAATTGCAATAAAGTAACGACGAGAATAATTAGTGTCAAGCATAGCTCTTTTAATTAATGAGAAACAAAATTACTAATTTTCGTAATTGTGTTAGTGGAATGATTCGTAAGATTGTCATGCTCGAATACTTACGGGTCTTGATAATTATCGAGGTGGTATGCTGACCTGAAATATGCAAATGAAACGCGTTAGAGCTTGCTACGAATTAGTTCCGTCCTGTTAATATTCTATTCTTGTAGTGCTTAAAATAAATGTTTGTATCCTCTAATCTCGCCCGTTATACTTCATTATTGCACCTCTTGTAAAACTACAAAATTATAATTAAATAGTTATTTAAAGTTAATAACGTAAGAAGTACTTACTAGCACACATGCATAATGCGCATAACTAATAAAATACATTAACTAATATAAGACATTTGCAATACGAAAAAAGAAAAGAAAGAGAGAGAGAGAGAGAGAGAGAGAGAGAGAGAGAGAGAGAGAGAGAGAGAGAGAGATAATTTAATATTTTACTTGTCCTTCTTAGAGAATACATAACATCCAAGTATATATTACAAATGAAGGTACGAGAGATGCGGTCACGTAAAAAATTTGCCGGTTGAGCGAAATGGCGCTCTCTTTGCCGACGGCTGTTCAAAGTGCCGAAGCGTAAGGCTCTCGAAGGAAACCTGATCACGCAAAATTTCTTCTTCGAGTGCAACGACCACTTTCTATGGGCAAAATCTTTCGCAAGCGATTTATAGATTTATGCAAAGTACCGGGAAAAGACGAAATTATGCTGATGCGTTGCATCGGGGTCAAATAGACCAGTTGCCATTACGAAACTTACGGCCAGTTGAAGAGGAAAAAAAAACAAAAAAACAAATAGAGTGTCGAAAGTTCAGTCGAAAGTTTCTTGAAAATCGTCAGGTAATACACATGGCATTTCGAAACTGTGTGTGGGATGTATATCAGGTAAATATATCACACCACTTAACTGCTCGCGTTACATCATTGTGGATCTCTGGGGGGATATGCTACATATAATTAATAACACAACTCGCTGTCGTGCTCGCGAAAGACCCCGAGATCTTTCAACATATAACGCGCGTGCACAGTTTGCATAATTATAGTTATAATAACGTAGTTATAGTTATATTGCATATGGCGTTGTTGCGGAAATCGACGCGTATGATTACCGTGTCGTTTCTGATTATCGTACCTACGATTAACCGCGCGTTCAATTTTTAGGAGATGCGATTTCACGCTCAGTAATCATTTGAAGTCACTTTTATTCGCTTATCGAAGTTAGTGATTTTATAAAATTTTTTTTTGTGCCAAAACAATGCGCGTACGTACATTTAAAATTTAAGATCTCTCTCTCTTTAAAACTAGAAACAAAAATGCAACGCGAAGAAGAATGCAACGGCACGTTGCCAGAAGTTGTTATCCAGAGAGAACATCACGTATTTCATCCACGTAAGATCTAAAACGAGCGATACACAAAGTTAACGCGTTCAGCGAGGCCTGGCTTTGTCCATCACCGGCTGTAAAGGCCGATGAACTTGAGCATCAAGACCTTTCTCCCGTAAGTCAAGGTACCTCTGCCCTACTTAAGGCACGTTTCCGTGAGACCGGATCGCACCCTCTTTTTCTCGCAGCCGATATCCACTACGCGGTCGTCCTCGATTCACGGTAGAATTACCGGGTAAACGACGTTTCTTACTCAAGAGAGAAGAACCGTACTGTTGACAATCGTTGCGGAATTTGTTTTTACACGCGTACATTCGTCGCACATAAGAATATTTTCTGCGAATTTCAATTTCAAGATTTGAATAACGTAAATGTGAAGAGAAATGCTTGTCGACAATCGTTTATTCGTTGCGCGTGTAATAGAGAAAGAACCGGATCTTCGCGCTTAACGAAGAGAGAAGTTCGCGATCCCGTCGGCGAAGTTCATTGAAGTCGTAAAAAAAAGTTGAATTTTCGACGATATTTCAACGTTGTGATCCCCCAGCGATCGTACTAGGCATCGACGCGAAGCATCCGTTCCGGAAGTGGCAAACATCAACATATATATTTGCGGTGCCAATGCCGCGAAATCGCTCGGGACTTTCGCTACGGAACGAGAAGCACCCGGTATGTGAGAGAGAACCACCGCGCGGTGATCGACGTGCTTTAGTCGCGGACCGAATCGCAATTGGTGATTTCTTCGAGGAGAATTATTTTCTTTTGCAGATACGCTTTAGCGTATATGAACAAAAAAGGTTTAAATCCGCGTGGGAAACGCAAAGGAAAGCCGCGAGGATCATTAAGCTCGCACCGATAATAAACAAATGTGAACAATATTACAACAGCGCGTAATTGTTTCGGGAAAAACAAATAATGCTGATCACAAAGTTAGCAAAGAAAGAATTTGCTAATGTAGTAATCTTTCTGTTGTTCTAGCAAACCTTTTTCTTTCGTGTGCGATCGCACGCAGTCGAGACGTAACAAAGACGCGAGTTTTATCCGCTCGAGAATCTACCCGTGAACCCCGCGAGTTCCAATTAAACAAATCTCTCGACTCGTCAGATCGTGCCGCGGTTTTCATCGCGAAAAAGAGCTCGTCTGTTTAAGAAAGCGAAGATCATTGTACTTTACGAGCGTATCTAACGCGCGCGACTGTTAATTAATTAGAACCGGAGGAATGTGCAAGTTACGTAATTACTCGACGAACGTCGAACAATATTTCTGATTTATAGCGGAAGTGGCGAATACATTATCGCGAAGCAACTTCCTTCTTCGTCTTAATCTCTGGTTCCAATTGTTTCAATATTTTCCATCAATTTTTATATTAGAATATATATATTTTATTACATTACAATAAGAGTAGAAAAAAAACACGTGAAAATAACGTGACTGTAATTTATATTATATATACATTAAATAATACATATTATACATATAATTTATTATATATTTATAATATTATACTTTATATTGTATTATATGTATTATATACATACTATAGTAATGTCACTGACCGCGGCCGCGCGGCCTTGGCGGGGTCACTGACCTCGGCCGCGCGGCCTTGGCGGGGTCATTGACCTCGGCCGCGCGGCCTTGGCGGGGTCACTGACCTCGGCCGCGCGAGCTTGGTGGGGGAAAGGGTCACTGACCCGGCCGCGCGGCCTTGGTGGGGGGGAGGGTCACTGACCTCGGCCGCGCGGCCTTGACG